TAGACTACAAAAAAAATGACCCATAAGCCCCCAACCAGAGTTATTATTGGGTCGTGGGATCATTGTAAGTATTATAACACTGATTATGAAACTTCCATTCAATAATAAAGTCGAGCCTAAATATTTAAAATTCCGATCAACTTCTCAATCCGATTCGCTATGAAACTCATTATTCAAGCCTCTCGGCAAACAACGTTGTTGTTTCAAACTCGGAACAAGCCCGAACTGTTTCGAATCCCAACAACTTCCAATTACGGTTTGAAAGTGTAACAAAATTCATAAAATTCCACTCGAAAACAGTCTTGGGGTTCCTACGTACTGATAAAACTTTTTCTTCAGTAACAGAGTTCATCCAAAAATAACCCGAAAGATCGAATCTGCATTGTACCGTATCAAAAGATATAAAGTAACTTGTCTAAGGGTTGTAATCGCTCGTAATGTTCGTGGGGTGGCCAGCGTTGCGTAACAGCCCCTCAGTTTGGACCACTCAGCCGAACAACTCCTTAATCTTGGTTATTTGGTTGCTGGACGACTTAATTAGGGTTTTGGGAAAGTGCTCCTTGTGTTTGGGAACAGTATTATGGGAAGATTAAAATTGTTGATAAGCAGATTACAATGACCTAGTAGTTTGGATAAGATAAAGTAGAACATAATAGCATGCCCTCTTTAACTTGATCACTTTCTATGCTTAGGAATTTTTGGCTAATCTATCGACAGTAGAACATTTTGGATTCAATACCCTAGTAAATAATTTTCTAGCTTCTAGCATTTTCTACATTAGAAAATGCGACTGGTGCAAACAGCCCCATATTATGCTATAGCTGTAAACTAATAAAGATAAGAAAAGTTTACCTTATCGTCACGAGCCCATCAAAGCATCGCAGCTATTTCCCTAAGGGACTGGCAGAGGTGAACGGCATGCCCCGATTTCACGGTCCACCGGTTATTATGCACCAACGAATCCCAAAAGTTTCTTAGCTTAAGGCAACAATGAAATCTCCCAAGAATGCTTCGGGTTGCCTACGTGATGGGAAAACTAAGAAAGACATTACTGTTGCCCTATTTTCTTCGTATCTAGGTGATCACACCGACGTGCTATGGGCCCTTTGTATACATTTTCGTGTACAGTACATAGTTACATGTACACATGACTGAGGACCCTTTGTACATGTTCCTATACAATGACGAGTAGCAATGGTAAAATAACAAAGAATAAATGGATACGACTGCACAAGAAAACAAGTTCTGTCTATCAATAAGTTACAGATAAAAATAACAGTCATGTAAAACCTATTTTAGTTCTAATCAAAGCAAAATTGAAACAGCTATTAAACTGAATGGACATCCTTGCCTTGTCAAATTCATGTAATCGCAAAAACGGTCGCACAGCTGACCATTCGACATTTAATCTTCTTACGTTCGTCGGGCGGGTCCACAATCTTCTAGTATTTTATTTATGTCTGGACACTAATGCTTCTGAAATATCTGTCGATGTCTGTCTGGATGTAATGTGAGCAATAATATTGCTTTTAAACCGATAGTTGTAAGAATTGCTGAACAATAACAAACATAATAATACATAACATCATAACATCACGCTTTTTATCCCCGAAGGGGTAGCCAAAGGTGCACATTATGCCACTGTACAATGTATCACCCACTTTTCAGTATTTATGTTATGAGTCCCAGTAATAGGGGCGACCCCATTTCCATATACCGGGCACAATTCCAGACTCCCTGTTACTACTGAGTATTTTTTAAAACCCAGTAATACTTTGCCCGACCCGGGATTCGAACCCGAGACCCCTTGCCCGGCAGTCGCAATTGCGACCACTCGGCCAACGAGGCAGTCTATAGACATAAGTAATATTATGTTAATCCACTTACAATCCTACGTAACTTAAAATAAAATAAAGTACCTAAAGTCGAAAACTCTGTAATTGTTATGAAATACAGTCTCCTTCTGTGCGCAAATATACACTTTTATAAGAACCATAAAATTTGACAAAACCACTGCTAGATCTATAGCACCATATAATAATATTTAACTCAAAGACACGGTCGACAGCACACAGCACTTTACAATCTCAACCCCAAATCCCAAATTTGATCTCAAAATCCTTTACAACCGCATCACATACAATACAGACATATATCCCCTAAATCTCCAGCAACCTCCAAACTGACATACAAACCACAGACATGGTTCATTAAGCCACGCGTCAGATGACGGAGACGGCTTTTAGCGTGATTGGCTAGTCCTATTGTCTATATCAATGGCCGAGAGACATGAAAACTGAAGCTCCCGTGCCACGATGAGGGATTGAAAGCGACTGCTGCTTTATAGGGGATCCTGGGAGGTTTTGAAAAGGAAAGTTTGTTAATCAGAGGGGTGATGGCACAATGGGTGAGCTACGGTACTGGATGATTGAACCAGTACCTATTCATTCCTGCGGCTTCCTATTGAATTAGGTACAGAAACACAAAAACAAACTTAATTCTACGCCAAAAAGATATTCACAAGTTCAGATTTTCAATTATAAAGTTTAGTCGGTCTAGTCAACTAACTTTTTCTTATAATACAATTTACCAATCCGCATTAACAGAATACCAATAGCTGTCCTACAATATTGAGCTTCCCAAACTACCATAACATGTTTTGTCACATAAAATATTCGTCTAGAAAACTTGGCAGACATTTTTACGCATAAAAATTCGAGATAACGACGCGTGCGGAACGTCCCGAAGGATATGACTGCAGACTACAACAAAATTCTGTTTTTACTATAATCCACTCAAGGCTGTATACGTGTATTTCCGCGCCGAAGAATTTGTTTATGCAACAGAGCGTGCTCTATGAACTGTCAAAATACGCGGGAATATTTATCCTTGTTTTTTTTTAAAGAAACGAGGTCCTTACTCAGGTGAAATGTTATCAACGTCTTATTTATGAAATTATTCACAAAATACCTACTTACTTATATTAATTTAATATCGTGAAAAAGAGCACTAGACCATCGCTGTCGCGGAGAACCTAACGGGTTACCGGGGCTCCGGCTCGACGTGAAATCTAAAATTCCTAAATATGTATAAGGAGTTCAAAAATGCGATAACTTGTTACAAAGGTAGGTACTTAAGTTTCTAAGATAAGTACGAAAGCTTTTTAGATAAAGCTGACGCAAGGAGTTTCTAGACTCACCATAATCTTCTTGGTGGCAATTCTCTTTGTGATTTAAACAATAGAATATTTAAATAATTGTTAATGAAAAATTCCTAAAAAAAAGGATAGTAGACATGAAAATGTAAAATAATTTCAATCATAAGTAATAGACGTTTTTGCTGACAGAGAGGTTATCGTAAATTTAATTCACAGTCGACTAATTCTAATAATGAAAATTTATGGAGACCGCCATTATTGGACGGCTCCCCCAAAATTTGATGACACTCAACTTTATGAAGCGCTCTAAAAATGTTTTTGTTCTTATAAAGGACATTGAACTGACAAAGATGGAATAAAATTTATAGCTAGGTATAGCTAGGTGAAACTCACCTAGCTATACCTAGCTATAAATTTTATGGTATAAATTTTTAGCTATAAATTTTGGAATCTTACAGCTTTTGCTTCCAACATGGTCACGTGTATTGTCATATACTTACATGCGGTAATTTCTAGCCTAGAAGAAATAAAGAATGATAGAAATGGAAGCCCACAGAAAGAAGAAACACAGTAACAAAAACATTATTCTCTTTTTAACGCAGGTCCTAAAGATTATGCTCGAGACGATTCCTAATCGAAATTCAACATATCTCACACAATTTTAGAGTGAACCAGCACTAAACAAATCCATAAAACATTCATATAATCTCCGAGAAATCTCAGCCATACATTATTCACATCTCTTTCTTCACACCTTGGAACTAAAAAAAAAAACAAATCGGGCATCATTATTGAGTCAGGTCAGTAACTCAAAAGGCCTGGTTACTGTCATTTGCCACTAGGAATAACGCGCGCTTTCCTGTGCCTGCTACCGGCCTATATTTAGACGACTAATTATTAACAAGGTGCGTTTAGTTTATGGTAAACTGTGGTGAGATGTGTGGCCCTGGCATTAAGCTGTGTATACAATGGACAATGTTTCAATGTAAATATTTGTTATACAATCAGAGCTTTTTCTCCTTGGTGTTCTACTTGCATAATAAGTTTTATCTGTTACTTTGCGGAATGAATAGACAGAAGAGCACAATAAAATATTCCAAATGTAAATCTTTTGTCAATAATCAAAATACCTATTTAAAAACTGAATTGAATTTTAAAACTTCGTCCAATTTGACAGAATGCCCCTCAATACAACTGGTTGTTCATGAATGTACTACCTACCTATATAGGTAATATAAATTATCTGTGTATAAAGTATTTAGTATGCATCTGGCATCCCCCGAGGTTGGTCGCACGTGAGGAGAATGCCCAAATATTATATTAATTCCCTATCGAAGTATTAGATAAGTCAAATGGAATTTTTCGGATTTGAGTTTTTTGGGCTCTAGCTGGCGCTAGATTGGAATTTCATTATGGCCTTATATATTTTGTTCACCATTGTTAAACTATGATGGTGTTGCGTGCTACTACTATATTTAAACTGTCAAACACCAAGCGGTCACCGGTGACCGCAACCTATTGTTCTATAATTGTGTCTATAATGACGGTACTCGACGAGTTAATTGTGACTTATGATATGCGTTATGCTATCTACCTACTTACGAGACACGTGTTAATCATGTCATGTGAACGAGGACGAGCAAACGATTGGGCATGCATTCAAACTAAAATAGTAACCAAAAGATCTATTAGACTTCTTTCTGTTCTTTATTAGAGATCTTTAAGTAAACGAATTAGAATCGAATTCGTAAATAACATTCATCGCACCGCAATATTCTCATAAATAATGAAACAAATGTTTTTCGTCCATCGTGGATCAAAATTACCATTTTTCTGTTCGCAGCGCCGTCTCACTCAGAAGTACAGCATCGCAGTGGGAGTACCGACCCTGGTGATCCGTGGCCGCCACGTGAGGGATGCTCTGCTGGATGATACACTGGGGGAGAAGTTCCCCTGGCCCCCTCCACCACTCACGGAAGTCCTGAGAGGAGTGGAGCTCCAGGGAGACGGGGAGAGTCGCCTCTATGAACAGCTGCCTGCTGATGCTGTCAGGGTTTTCTATTTTGCAGCCCATTGGGTAAGTAGGAGTTTTATGAAAGATAACTTAGATGTTTTAAGAAGTTTTTTTATGGAATAGGATGCAATAGTGCGGACGGATTACCTGATGGAAAGCGATTAGCGCCGCCCATGAACACATGGTCGTCAATACGTGAACATTACTTACATATACAGCATACAACATACTTATTCGACAGTTTCTAGATTTTTATTTTTTGATAGGTAACGGCTTTGTTTTTATATCTAAGTAATACCTACGTATGTTTTTTCACTGTGCGTTTCAAAATCGCCTTATCGTCCACTGTCCATAAAATCTCCCGCGTTGTCCAACAGTGTCCACCATGCCGGTCGTTCTCCCCGAGCCTGTGCGCGGCGCTGGCAGCAGTACGCAAGCGACGTACCAAGTACGCCAACACGCAACTCATACTCGTCTCCAGTGACAGGTATGACACTTACAAAACTGTAATATTATATGAAGTATTTTATAAGAAAGTTAATCTTCATGGTAACAATAGACACGGCGTAAAAAAATAACCAATTTGGTTCAGTCAGCCAAGTTGTGTGAGTGAAAGATATATATTTTGGAAATTCATTTTTATTAAAGTAGTAGCGTAGCGACCCGCCCTGGCTTCTCACGGTTGCAATATGCATGTATTATACATATAAACCTTTCTTAAGGATCACTCTATCTATTAAAGAAAACTACATCAAAATCCGTTGCGTAGTTTTAAAGATCTGAGCATACATAGGGACAGACAGACGGCGGATAGCGACTTTGTTTTATACTCTGTAGTAGTGTAGTGATCAATATATTTTTTTCAGATGAGACTTTTAAACAAGTAACTAACACAGGAACAACAACTTATAAGAAAACAGTTGAAATTTGAACTTAAACCTTTTATTTTATTTCCTGCACTCCTATTTCCTCCTTCTATTCCACCAAACGCGCCATAACACAATTTTTGCAATTCTTCTTGAACAAATTGTTCGAAAGATTATTCCATGTCATTGAATTTTATTGTTCTACAAAATTACTTCGGAGTTCGGGCAGAGCGTGTTCATTTGGCTTTATTTATTATTCTCTGCTTCGTGTTCAAGTGCGATCACAAAACAAATATGGCGGTGTGTTCCTTCAATTTAGAGCTCCTAATGAGTCTATTTGAGTTAGTCCTCAATTGTTTGATGCCATTTATATCCCTTTGTTCATATCTTTGAGATTAACAGAGATAGTTATGATGAATGAACTAGTGACGAAAATATATTTTGATGCTATTTACGTCCCCATGTTTATTTTGTAGTTTTGATATTTTAAAACCAATGCGTTAACTCTTCGATTAAACTCACTGTCATTTATAGCATTTTTGCATATACCTAACCAATCATGATTACCCGACTATTTTTCATTTTATTTCCAACACAGCTTTACCACGGTAATATGTAATATCATACGTGCCTTTACACTATGAATAGGTACATTTCCAAGAAACATGTGATGTCAAAAGTGAAAGTTAATGATAATTAAAATAATTAATTAACCAGCTAATATCACTAATACGAATATAGCTAATAACGGTAAAATGTTCATATTTTTTTTTTCATAAATGGAATTCGTGCGTCATTATCGATGGAAAAAAGTAAGTAATACCTACAGTTGGCGCGTTTCTTGTTTTCCTTACTTTTTTTTTCTTTTACTCGGTAAGCGACGACTTCCTTTGATGCCAATCGGAATATTTTAATTAAATTATGGGAATCTCTCTCCCATTTGTGTCGTTATATTGAGTAGGGAATTAATTTTAATAATAAAATGTTCTCAGAATTATATTTCTCTTCAGGAAATTAATCTATTAATGTAATGAGCGGTGGGCAGGAATACCTTATGGAAATGGAAATATATGGAAAAGTGTATGACATACCGTTTTAAAAAAAGTGGTATTTGGTTAGTGGTAATATAAAATGGTGTCATTCACGAAAATCTGATAGACATCCAAAAATAAAAAGGAAAAACTACCATAAAAAGTCGCCTTACATAAATAGGCGGCAAAGAAAAAATGATCAACTAGAAAATTATTAAAATTATAAAAAGCCTTTACTAATATAAGTTCCCCGTTATCCTAGCAAGTTTAATCTTCATATTATATGCTTAATCCAGTTCTATTTGCGTTCCTTCCACGTCCCGAGAGAATATACAAACATGTTGGTGTTATTTACTGAAATAAGATAGTTTGCATGCTGAATAATAAACGGAGTCTCGTCCCGGCTGCTCTCGACTTAGGATCCAGGGCTGCTAGTGCCCACATTATATCAGATTTATCTAGAAACTCCGTATAAGCTTACGGTGCATGATATTCAGAGACAATGAGATTTTTAGGGCTAGTAAATCCTGCAAAATAGACGTAAAAGGTTCCATTTTCATCATCAATCATAACCTGTGACCGTCTACTGTTGGTCATTGTAGACTTCCTCTAAATTACAGAGTTTGTCAAAATCTCCAGAGCTTGCAGGTTGTTTTAAAATATCCGGAGAATGCTATAAAAGCCGTTAAAATTGAATCATCGAGTAAATAATAATGTGATTGACATCCAATCATTAGTTATTTTATATATCTCTATGTCAAATCAATCTCTCTATATCTCAAGTTTCTTTGTTTTTTATTCCTATCCTTGTATCGATACATACCTTTATCATACCATATCTTTGATACCGACTATAGGTAACCATCAACAATCGTACAATAGACGCATTTGTATTCTTTCATCCGCCCCTCATCTTTGATTTACTGCCTACCTTCACGTTCATGTCACCTTCCACGCATCCATCTTCCGAGACATATTCATCATTTGCTTTGTTAAAAGAATTTCCTCAAAAATGTTTATTAGGTACACAATATACACAAATATTTTCGCAAAATGGCCGCGGGACAAGATGGCAGCCCTCGGTCGGTGCACCAATCATAGGTAGGGACAGTGTCGTTACTTCAAATTGAATCCGTTCGCTCCATTGATCGAGACTTTTTTAACACGAAACTTCTCCAACACTTTTACAAATTGATAACTTAAACAATACCTGAGTAAGGCTAAGTTTTATGACTTTTTGTTCGTAAGAAAAAATGGATGGAGAATTTATTACAGGTCGTGTTTAAAACTTCTTTCTTGTAATTAAGAGTACCTACCTAATATATGACTGGTTGGTGCAATTAATTTACTAATTACTAATGAACCTTTTACTGACTCCGGTTACCGGTATCTACATTAAAAGGATCGTTTGAATAACAGTTTCAAATTGCACCTCGCATGCACCATAAAAGATGATACCTGTTACCGTAATGATACAATTATAAGAAAAAGCTAATGGTAAACCAATCTGGTCTGCCATCTAGACTATTGACTCAACGACAGTCTATAAGTGTCCATTGCTGAGCAACGGTCTCTTCTCACACGGAGAAGATTTGAGCAATAGCCACCACGCTTGCTCATTGACGATTATTGAGACACCTAAATTGTTGCATAACAATCGAAATTCGTGTAATGGACAATCCTTGGAAAGGCAGCCATTAACCGCTCCACATAAAACGAAATAGTTAATACTTCAGTAGAAAGTTCAAGGCTTAAGTAATTAAAATTCAGGTCGTTTCGGACGACAGGCTATTCTCAATTGTTCACAGACCCTCACCTGAGTTTTAAATCATTTGGTTTTATGCTCTTTTGGACCCGAAAGTTGAATTAATTAGAAGGAATATTCATTATTTTAAATTGTTTCATCGCTTTTATGTAAATGGCGGATTTGTTGAATTCCAAGTTGTGGGCGGAAGCGCTTGACCCGTGTCCGATGCCCATAGATAGATAATATTTCGGGGCACACAACAATACAGACTTACAGTTTTCTTCTTATCTAAAAGATGTGTAAGTTGGTTAATTCCAAATGAATTCCCAGTTATAGCCAAATGAGTAGCTGTAAGTCCTGACTCCCTAAATTTCTATGCTATTTGCCTTCAAAAAATTTTTTGCCATGCAAGAGAGTGAACTTTAAAAGCTGCACTATAGGCACAGTAACCTATATTTTTTGGCAAACTTCCAAATGGGCGCGAGATCATAAACCAGAGACATTCATAAACAGAATTTAATAACCACTCATTTTCTTCTGAATCTGTTTAACATCATTCACGAATTTTTCTAGTTTGCATTTTAAAATATCCTGCAAACAAAATTACTCGTGTTTGAACAATTTCCCGCCCAAAATAAAAAGAAAAAAAAGACATCAAATTAAATCCTGGCCTTTTTGCGCAAGCAGCATTTCGAAGATTTTAAGCTTCGAACGTCAGTGATTACTGGCGTCGAATATTTTAGTCGGATGTGCAGACATGTCAGTTTTACTTCTTCTTTAGTAAAATCTATTTGAAACTGAATCTCATTATGTCGTCAAAGGGGTGTGATCGTGTCGCGTTTGCGAACCACGTGCTCTTTGATCTTAGTGAAGCGTCATTATGCATGTGCAATTTTAGTTTCTTTTTTGCTTACACTGCATTTATGCAAAACAAGATGTTATACTGAAGGATCAGAGTATATTTGAAAGAGAGAATAGTATACAATCAGCGTCGTTATAAATCAAGTCCTTTTTTTATTTTACTAATAATTTCATGTATCGTGAACCTCCTGCTCTTTGAAGCATCTCTACGTTTATACCAACCTAAAAGCCTGTAAATGTCACTATTAATTCTTCAAATATTTGTATTAGTTTTAAAATAACTAATTGTTAAGCAGCTACCAAAGGCCTTTATCATACTCTCTATATTTTTTCTAATTACTTATCTCTACAGCCTTGTCTCTGGTCTAAGCGGGTATTCATTAGCCCCGTATTAGCCCCCTCACCACTCTGACGTCCGTGGATAGTACGGTATCCAAGAAAAAAGTAGCGTCATACGCCCATGGATACTATAGTATCCAAAGCGACGAGTTGTGTTTAATGCCCTCTAGTTTAAAATACGGTCTTTCTTGGTGAGTTTTGACAGATTATCTATACAGTTGAATAAATAGTTCGACGAAAAAAATAGAGATGGCAGTGTAATAAGCTTTGACAAACAAAATATAATTTTTTAAGTTCAGTTGACTCGTTTGACGCGCGTGTTGTGAAGTGTTTTTGTGATTGCCAACAATTATGTCGTAAGTACTACAGTTTTGTTTTATTTATCTTGCAAGTGTTATACATCAAAATAAACTAGAAGATTTTTGCTTTACGATGATGTATAAATATCACAGTTTTAGCTGATAAATCTAGTCTACTTTTAACTTCAAACGATTGTTGTTTCGAAAAAAATGGCCGATCGTATTGTGTCGGCCACTTTTAGTTTTGTTTATACATATTTTACATACTTTGCATTACAATAGTATATAAAATATCGAAATACATTTCGTAATAAGCAAAATAATACATTTTTCAAAGAGAAATA